TGATATGTACAGCAGCCTAAATAAAAGCCTATATTTCAGCACATATGAAAGAAATGATACTTCTATCATGTTTTAAATTTTCTCTGTTAATATGTACTATCAGTAGAACATCCTGAGAAATAATGTTGTCTTGTTGAACAAATATGCCAAAGTTAATATTATAGTATTAAAAACTGAACATGCTAATTTACCTGCTGTTTACATGGCTTCTCCCCAAAGTGCATTTATTATAATTTTTTAAATCCATAAGCTTGTTTAAAACTATTTAAAGTACAAATGTCAAATTTAATGTTCTGTAAAAACCGATATTAAGGTTTTCCTCTTTAATTTCTTGCAATCAAATAAAGCATTTTTATATTTTCATTTTTCTTTTAAGATCAAATAGACATGTTAATATGTTAACAGCTGTCGTATATTTGCTTTATGATAAATATTTTTTTTCCTTGTCACAGAAATTTGATTTTTAAAAATTTATGTATCAGGTAATAATTCCTTATGCAAAATGGATTTATTGTCTTCATTCTTAAAAGTTGCATAAGATACTTATTTTCAAAAATAGAAAGTTTATATTTTGTGTGTGTCCTACTGCGAAGTTCCTCCTTCAAACTTTTCACAATTCTTTTAAATACATGATTATTTTGCTTATTATTATCAAAGTAAATTTGGATAGTGTGAACATGTAATATGATTACAACTGCTGCTTTGATAACATATTCTGTTCTTTTTGGTAAAGGTTCTTTTTTGTTTCGATTGGGACTCATATTATGAAATATCTTCTGCTGCGTTATTTTTTCACTTTTCTGTGTTTTAAAGCTTGAGATTTCTGAGGCATCTTGCAAATATTCTTACCTACAAGCAAAGCGACCAAAGATATTACCAGCTTTATTTTGATTCAAAGATAAATAATAATATTAGCCTTAAAGTATATTTTCCCAAAAATTATTTGAATGCATTGAATTTGGTACTCATGATTTCAAATTTTTATTGGTAGCTATAGGATCAAAACTGAACTTTATTAATTGGAATACAATCATAGATCAGTTATATTTATTTTATATAAATTTTATATTTTGACCTTTATGAAATCTCATAACAACATTTTAACTAAAATGTTGCTCCTCATTAATGATTGCCTTTAAAACAATTAAAAATATTAATTTGAACAAGGAAGACAACAAAAATTATATGACTGGTATATACATTTAAAAATAAATTTCAGCTAAATGAGATGTTTGTGTGATGGTACAAAACTACACAAAAGCTGATGTCTCAATATTTGTTATAAATTTTGAAAGAAAAATAGTATTAATAGCAAGTACTGAAAATGATGCTAATCATAGTCTTGAGTTTTGAAGTTCTTATTACTAACTTTGGAGATGTTTATGTCTAAAGTAATCTGCTAGTAATATCACAGATGATGATTTCTAATCTATTAAAGCAAAATACTGTGTACCTTAGCTGATATTTTTATATAACTTTGGCATTTCAAGTTTTAACTTGTTTTAAAATTTAAATTGTAGCAATTTTTAAAATATTTAATACAATTAATACAAGATTAAATATACAAATTATATGAATTAAACATTAAAATAATGATCATACTTTTGAGAGAAAATATTGAAACTATAAAGCACCTTTGAAACAGAATTTATCCTTAAATCAGTGTTAACATAAACAATGTTATCTACTAACTGCTCTCTTTACTTTTCAAACATTAAATAATAATCTGCAAGTCTAGATTAAAGCTTTAATGATATGATAAAACTCTTTGTCTTGTCCTGTTTCTGGAGGTTGGTCATTTCATTTTAATTAGTTTTATGTGAATTCTTTTTGTAATTCGCAACTCTAGAATCAAATCATAGATTTTTTTAAACATTTCCTCTTTCCCTAGACTGGCTTTTTAAAAACCAATGAAATTATAGAAAATTCCTTTTTAAATTTGTATGACAAACCCAGGAGTAACAGCATTAAGGACAAGGTTCTTGCTAGCTATATAGTATAATTTAAATAACAGCCACTGATATATTCATTTACGGTTTTATTTTTACTTTTGCTAGGCTAATTGTATGTTGAGAGTCTTATTTAAAATATTTTCATGAGACAATGTCAAAAGACACACTCTTATTTGAAATATGAATAATGACAAAATATTTTACTAAATATTGCTAGAAATAAAATCAGTAAGTACTGTATTTTAATGTAAAATTAATAGGAAGACATCTCAAGACTCTCAAGGTTTGAAAACAAAGAAAAAGTCAAGAAATAATGTATCAGAAGATAGTTCATAATATGAGAGAAAATCTACACAAAAAGTACCCAACCAAAAAGAACAGAATATGTTCTCATGGAAGCAGCTCCATTCATTTGGAGAGTGTTCACCCTATCCAAGAGACAAATGTTTCTCTTGTCTTTAAAAAATTTGCAAACAAAGCCAGTACCCCAAAGGCAAAGTTTATTCAGCTGAGGGTGCTCACTAGACAGGAAAGTAGATACCAGCTCTCCGATGTTGGATGCTACAAGCTTGAGTGTTCTGATGGTATTAAGAATATACTGTGTCACATATTCTAATTCAGTGTTCACCAAACATCTGCCAATAATCTATACAATCATCTTTTTTCATTAATTTTATTGGTAATTTTAGGGTACAATACGCTGACATTCATTATTGGGAATGTGTACCTTTACCTAATGTAACTTGGTTCTTATATTTTTGCCCATTCTCCCTCCACCCCTAACTAACTTCTTAATCATGTCTTTTCTTTAGGGAAGGAGGCTGGATGCTCCTGTAACAAGGTGCTTACCTTGAGGGTTATATTTTCATCCCAAATTAGTAGATGGGCACCTTGAGTTATAGATTTCATTTTCTTGTGCATATTATTGAGTCATCATCTCTAAATATAATTAGCTCTGCAACATGAATAGCATGTAAACCGACGCTGTAAAAGCAGAGTCCTTTACATAGTGCTACGCCTGAGAGCCATCAGCCAGTGAGCAGGTAGTGGGCCTCAAGTCTCCTGAAGTATGACATAACATGAAACACAAGAAAATCTTTGCTTTTTGTTTGATCCTGCTTTTCATTAAAGTAGCATGAAAATAAGGAAAATTAAATTACTGAGAGGACAAAAAAGGAAAAAGAAAAGTTGGAAAATAATATAAGAAAGCAAAAAAGAAATTTTTGTGACATTCATCAGAAATTTTGACCATTTACCCATATAGAACTGAAATTCAAGCCTGAAAATATCACTATAATAATATTTAATTATTAAATTAAAATTTAAAGATAAATTTAGAATCCACTTATTAAAATCGTCACATATTCCTGTTCCTTTTATAGTTTGCTCTTTATTTACCATATTTTAAGATTGTTTATTCATGTACATAGGACTGATTTAGTCATTATAACAAGTGTTCAGTATTCCATTATATTCCCTATATGATTTCCTGCATTCCTTTTCTGATTTATGAAATATTTTTAAATACAAGAAGATATTAAAATACTATCTCCAAGAACAAAATATTATACAAAATTTATACCTACATGTAAAATAAATATGAGTGATAGTGAGATGTACACAATATTTACCTATATTTCATGTATCTCTACATTTATCATAAGCTTTGTAAATTATAATTGTCATGCATCACATCGTAATTTTTGTGCCACATGTTATTTCCTTATGCCGATTTATCAGAGTTTATCAATCTCTTATAGTTGGATATTTTACTTAATGTGTTCTTTTTAGAAAGAAATTAACTAAACAGTTTCATTGTCATTTGTGTCTTCTTTGACAGTCATCACATTCATTTTAGGATAAATTTTCAATGAAATTGCTACAGTAGAAGGTATTTTGGGTGTGTTTGATTTTAGTAGAATATAAGGCAACATAATTTGTAAGAATTTCCATAAATAATTTGAACCACCATACCGTTGTGACTGTTAAGTGAATCATTGACTTATTTAATTTTGATATTTTAGTGTCATAGCTATGACACTGATGCTGCAATAATCTACAATTTCGCTCTTCATGGAAAGTCTGTATGATTGGGTGATTAGTATCTTTATTTCTTTGTTCCTCATGTATAAATCACGGAATTTTAACAATGCTTACAGGATATCATCAACCCCGATCATTTATCATTATAACTCTCCTGGGAATAAAAACAAGTCTATATACATTCATGATTTATCAGGATCAACTCACTCAATCCGGAGAGCAAAACTGCAAGGTTTATTTGTTTTTGTTGTTTAGTTTTCTTACCGTAGCATTTAATAATAGCATTATCTGTACTCAAGCTCAAGGCAGAGTGCAATTCCCATTATTTTAGTTTTCCTTGAGTATCAAATTTCATGGCTGATATAGGTAATGTCATGTGTATCTAAAATTATTTCCTTATAATATTTCATCTTATTTTGACTATGGTTTTGTTTTTTGTACATTACATATTTTCATTATTGCACAACCTTTTAGATTCTATCACAGTAAATTATAGACCAATATTCCAGTATACTTCTAGCTTATTTAAATTTAAATATATTTAAATATATGTCACTGTTTTGTGATTTAGTTTTTTAAAATGTTTTTCCAGTCTCTTCAGTTTCCAGAAAAAATGCTTTTTTCAGTTTGGATATTTTTTTAAATTAAGTACAATTTAGAGGCACTTAACATGCCTATTACATGAATCAAGGAGTTACATTTGTCTCTATTGCATTTATTCCATATATTTTAGTGTCCTACCTGCATGTGATTATCTGGGTCCAAATTCTCAAAAATAATCTCTGTATTTACAGTACTTTTTTTCTCCATGTTTATAAAAACTGTTGACTTTCTCCCAAAGATTTATGTTTAAAATTTTTTTCTTGCTTTTCTAAAGTATGCTTAAAATTAGTTGTATTAGATGTTAAGTGTAGATTAGAAGGTTCCAGTAAAAATTCGACAGCAGATGAATCACCTATCAATCCTCATGTATTAATTCCACTTCTCTGCTGTTCTTTATTATAGAGTCAGCAAGCTTTGAAAAGGTCCCTGTGTTCATAATAGAAGTCTGAGGTAAGTCTGGCTTGGAATTTTCTGAAAGAAATTATGTGCATAGGACTTTAGTGCCTAATATTTAATCAGATTTTTGTTTTTCCTTTTTTATTATTTTTTTGTCTTGATTTTTCTTAACTAGGGAGAACTAGTGACTCTAAGATAGCCTAACTTCTATTTTGGCTGGAGCAATTATAAAGGACTTCGATTTGAGCCTACTGCTTTTATTGACCATCACATTTTAAAAAATGTGTAAAAATGATAAGTGGTTTGCTATATAAATTAGATAGTCTCTGCTTGAATGCCTTCTTACTATTTTCTTCTAAGTATTTTCAAATACTTTGTTTTTCCCAGCAAGAGCCGAAGAAAATGTTTTTCCTTTAATCCATTACCTTCCCCTTAAATACATTTTTCCCTCTGGTTCCTCATAAAAAGAAGATCACGTGGCACTTCTAAAATAATTTAATTCTTAATGTACATGAGTTTTAAGCAATGTAATCTTTTCCCTACTCAAGCGTTTCCATCTTTTATAAGAAGTTCTGTCTCTGGACCATAAACTTCATTTTCCCTAAAGTTCATATCTGGCCAAACCAACCCTCCTGTGCTGTGCTGGAAGACAGATCACTTTCTCCTGCCTTCTCTTTATTTTCATTTTTGTTTGAAAGACTGGACCCAGAACCTTAGTGCTGAGCAACATCCTCAGCTGCTTTATATTTTATTCTGAGACAGAGTCTTTCTAAGTTGGCTAGGTTGGGACCTCATCTTGGGTCCTTCTGCTTTAGCCTCCTAGGGAGGCAGCCTGCCTGATGTTTTGATCACTTGCTTCCTTACCTTAAAGGCCGAGGTCTCTTCCCTTACTTACTTTGATTGAGGGTTTATTATCCTCGTAGCATTTCGTCTCACCATTCCGTCTTGGGATGATCTATATTATTGATTGTACTAAGTGCCTAGATTAATATGCTGAAGAGAATGCAGGTTCCTCAGTGCTAGACTTTAGGAGAAACTAGTAACAGTTCACAGAATTAAGGTCTTGGGTGCAGATTAAAACATAATGCTGGAGTTTGTGAGAGTTTTTCTGTATGAAATATGAGGAATATCAAAGTTTATGGTAGGAAAAGTATTCAAATAGTCTTGCAGATACTAGAGAAATACAATATAACATCATCTAAAATCATTTTGCTCAGTAATTTAAAATAAGAAATTTAAATTTCTATATGTTTTTCCAAAATAAAACAAAATGTAATTGCTTAGCACTATATGTCATACTGAAACATTCCTTCTTATTGTTGACAATCAACTTCAGCCCTCCTCCAGCACTGTTTGATCAATGGTGTGTTCTCATGTTAGGCCCTTCAGTCTCCCTAGGCTTGTGTTGCCTCAGAGCCTGTTCAAAAATTAAAAAATGAATCAGTGTTGTGTCTAGACCCTGTCAGTCAATCTGATTTTAAAAGGCAAATCATTTTCTTGTAGCCTAACATTTATGTATTTTTCTTCAGGTGTTCACTCAGATTTCACTATCTTGTTTTAGTTAATTGGGAACTTAATCACAAGAAATTCTTGATTACATCTCTGGGAGATGTGGAAGAAACTGTAGCTGCTTTGAAGGAGATCAAAGTGCTGAAAAAAAGTGCAGGGATAGGAGCTTTATTAGTTTTGTATAGCAGCCACAGCAAATTACATAAACTGAGGGGCTGAAAAGAACAGAATTTTATTCCCTTACAATTCCTAGAAGACAGAAATCCAAAAGGAAGATGTTGAGAGTTTGGGTCTTTTTGAAGTCTCTGAAATAGAAACAGTTTCATGGCTCTGACCCAGCTTACGCAGCGTCTTGGAATATGCAGTGTTTCTTGGCATAGGCAAGTGCGGCTACAGCTGCTGCCTTCCTGCTATTTGCCCTTTGCTTGTGTATTTCCTCCTCTGTGCTTGCTTCTGTGAAGTCTTCCTGTCCTTACACTTCTAGGACACAAGTCACTGGATTTAGTGCTCATCCAAAGTCCAAGATCGCTTCATCTCAACAACTTTAATTCATTTGCAGCTGCAAAAATCTTTTATTTCCACATAAGGTCACATTCATAGGTACTGTGAATTAAGACTTGAGTTTAAGGTTTTGGGGGACACTGTTCAATCTACAATGATGGGAACGGTCAGTCTTCGTAGAAGTTAAAGTGTTAAATTTGAGCACACTGTTGACGCTGGGTAGAAGTTGACTTGACAGATGTTACAGAGTATAAATACACTGGCTGGCACAGTTGCCAATTCTTATTCTCTCTGTTTATTTTTATTCTGTCCCCTATTCTTTTGCAACAGATTCGTAGATCTAGATAAATGGGTGCAGTGATTTATAGTTGGGAAGAACAGAACCTGGTATGTATATATTGAGTTTAGTGAACTTTCCATATCTTCTTTTAAAAAAATATATATATATCTTCTAATTAGCATGAGAAAATTTTATTTTTTATAAAACGTTGAAAACTAACATGAAACATACAACCTTTGAAATAATAACAGTATAAAAATAAAGTTAATAATGAATTATTTTTTAGATTCCTCCTTCATGATTGAAAGAATAAAATAAAATATTTTAGTTTGATATAATCAATGATACAGATCCCAGGGATATTATTATTATTATTATTATTATTATTATTATTATTATTGTAAAATGTGCACATTAGATTGAAATGCATTCAGTACTTCCCAATATACTTTGAAGTATTTTTGCTCTATTGGACAAATTTTAATGAGTATAGATTGTAGATGCAAATAGAAAACTTCATATATTTTCTTCTAAAGTATATGGAGATAGGGCAGAAATATTTTTGATTATGCTCTAAAATTCTTCTCATAAAACCTCAATAGGGCTGCGATTTAGCTCAGTGGTTCTGCAGCCTGACTCACAAGTGCAAGGTCTCAAGTTCAATCCCTGATACCAAAAAATAAAAACAAAAATAAAATAAAAATGAATAAATATACAAAGCTCAATAAAAATATTTACTTCCTCTTTTTTCTCATTCAGTTTATTGGTACTTTTTAGGTATATGCTTCAGTTACGTTCATCATTGGGATCTTGCACCTTACATGACAGGTCTTGGTTCTTATTTTTCCTCAGAGCCCTGCCCTCTCTACATGCCCTCCTCCCTTCCCTATTTATAAATACTTTATTTCCATTTTTTCATTTTCTCAGATTTTTTCTTTTCCCTTATTTCCTTTCCCCTACCCGTCCCACTTCCCCTACACCTTTAGCCTTTTTCTTCCTATTTCACATTGTCAATTATACCTTTAGGATCTTACTTAAATTTATACTTTTTCACACCAGAGAAACTATTTGATATTAGAATAGATAACACAAATGTGCTATCAACATAAGGGAAAAGAGATAAAAACGTAGAGTAGCTGACATTAGCATACTTTAGTTTATCCAAATTAGAACATCAAAACTAAATAGTGGCAGGGATGTTTGACTGACATAATTAATAAATATCACTCAATAGATCAATGGTGAATTGTATACTACATAATCTAGCAAACAAAATTTATTGAGATGCAAGCTTAAATCTTATTTATGTTACCATATATATAGTCACACATACACACACACACACACACACACACACCTCCAACACAATAAACTAGTTGTTCAGCAAATTATGAAACTGTGTAGCCATAGAAGATACCCTAGTTTCAAAATATTAAAAATTTGTCAAAAAATAGCCATTAGTGAAGAAACTAAAATTGTAATTGCAGACTAATAATAAAAAAATAGTTTAAAATGGTACATATGAAATCTCAATGTGTACAAAAGGTCAATAAAATGAACAGGAAATACAAATGATCAATAAAAAAGACCACAAGTAACTGAAGAAATGTAAATCAAACATAAAGCATATATTACATTTTGATAGAGTGTCAAAAATATTACAATTTCTGAGTTTTGATTTTTCACAGCCTCCCTGATTCTAGTGTAAGGAATAAACATGGGATATGGTTTTGGGAAGAATAGATCTCAGAATTAAAGAGAGAGTCAAGAATGTTGAAGGCTTTATAAGTTGCAGTCATCATTTGTAATAAAGGAGAATAAAACACTGACTTTTACATCCTGACACAGCAATGACGAAGCCATACTTTGCTTTTTCTCTGTTGTTAAATACTGAAAATATTCTAAAATACGGCCTACAAGGAGTGTAAGGGAGTAGACGGACATATATAGTTCATAGAGTGTCATGGTGTACAGTCTTTCTGCAGGGCAGTTTTACAGTATTAATCAAAACATTACAGCTGCATCTACTCTGATTTTTTAAAAGTAAAATGTGGTTTAATGAGATAATCAACTTCAGTAGTGAAGAGATAGATATTATTTTCAGAATTGTTATAATAGCCAGAAATAAAAAGGAATACAAGTAGATGTCAAGAATAAAAGTTGTTTAGGTGCATTGTGTAACATTCAATAGTAGAGCTCTGTGCAGCCATCAGTGGTCCCTGAAGGTTTAAATTTATTAAAAGGAAAAACTCTGCACAGTTGTATATGCCTTTTAGGGAAGATTACCCAAAACTAGATACAGTACTGTCATATGACTCCCATTAAGTGACCAAACCTGTCCAGTATTTTCACTGATTCTATCAAGTAATGTATTCAGAATCACATCACTGTGATGCAAGTTGTTCTCATCAAAATTTTGATCAAGACTAGATGGGCAAATATTAGTTTTCAAATTCAAGGCTACCGAGGGGAAGGAAGCTTTAGTCAGCTTCTTGATACTGGAGCGCTGAAACAAAGGAAAGTCAGAAGGAGTAAGTGATGAAAACAAGAAACTAAAGGGAAATATCAAATTATGTAAAAATTTCCCTATAATCTACTTGCATTAGTTATATATCACAAGAAATTTTGTGTACTATTGTTTTCATATCATATCAGAGGCCATGTTTAACAGATCGATGTTATTTTGGAAGGTATTTAATTCTAATTTCTTGGTTTGTCAGACCTCTTCCATTCTGTGCGAACTCATTTTACCACCCTGAGTTTT